GTCGAATTGAATACCTCCTTCTTTTGGGAAGTCGGTCAAAAAAGGCGGTAATGTTGAATGAAAATAATCAATTTTTCGTGATCACCTAATGAAGTAATAAATGAAAAAAAAAATAGAAATTTATCTACACAAACTCAACCTAATTAACATGGGAGCGCGGCAGAGCCCCGCCGAGGGCCAGCGGGCCGTGGCGCGCACCACACCACGGCCAAACACTATTTTCTCGAAGCGCTTCTGGGCACTTTTGACTACCCTGTAACTTAGTTGTGGATTAAGATAGAAGGTTGTGAATACAACACTGGAATTCATAATGTTGCCAAAATATCTTTTAGTTATATGTACCTAGTAGTTTACGAACTATAGCTAGTTATATTCTTTACTTAACACAAACGCATGTTTAATTGTAATTTTATTGAATTAGGTGGAACTGAAATAGTTATATCGTCATAGTTAACACTTGTTAAAACTAACCATTTCGTTGAAATACACGAAAAGTTCCTTTGACGTTAAATAAGTCTAGAATCGGACCAGTGCTCGTGTTATAAAAAGTTATGCTTAAAAATATATATTCTATAAAAGTCGTACATAGTCTCAGAGGAAATATGGCGCAATCGTGCGCTAGCTGAGTTACCGCCGTTTCAAAGAAAACATTCTAAAAGCGCAATTAACATCGATGTGAGATCAATGTTATGTTATAACGTATGTATTAACTCATACAAGTACATTCAAGCGAAAATAAGAGACATTTAAAACATGAATTTGTCTACGGCGGTCGTAGAATTCGTCCACAGCGCGGCGGCCGCGAGTCGACACTCCCACAAATATCCTTCATGCTCGTACTAAGAAATAAATCGAATACAAATATTCAAACTACAACAGTAGGTACTACATGTATGACATTATCTATTAAAAAAAGACAAATGTTTCAATACTTTAATTTTAATCGATGTATTTTCACACATTTACATTCATTATCTAACTTAAGTATTACACAAATGTTCATCTATACAAATAACACAATATTAGGTCGATCGGAAGGTATTGGACGGGACAGAAGAAGCACCGTCTGTCTCAGTTTGTGACGAGGTACCAGTAGGGGGAGGAGGGGGAGGAGGAGCGCCACCGCGTGGACATTACATACTAATGGATACCATCGCGCACAAGTGGTATTTAAGTTACACTGCAAGAAGATTTCGTTGCTTTGATTGTCGCGGCGCTGCTGGCGGGGGCGGGGGCGGGGTCCGAGCTTTCGCCTTCGTCTTCGTTGTTGACGGACCCCCTTGAAACCATTTTACATTCGCAGCCCACATTCTTGGTGTTAGTTTGTATTGGTTTGCGGAGCTCTAAGAGGTCATCGCTGTCACTAAAATTATGTACACACAAGGCACTGTTATTACATTTATTATGATCAACAAACTCCTCGTATTCACATTTCATATATCTAAGTAGCGATGTATGCTCGACATCGGTATCGTTGGCGATATTATTGACATAGACGGGATAACATCGCGGGGGCGCGTGTTCATGCACTATGTGGAAGTCTGTATGCGGGCGAAGTGCCGTTTTTAACTGTATTAGTGATGCAGTTCCATCGCCAGTGGTGTGGTGGGGGCGCTGGGGGCGCTGGGGG